GACAAGAAACATCTTTTGCTGGCTATGCTGGTTTCTGAAGTCGAGCTGACAAGTGGGCATCAGCAGATATGATTCATGGGCCGCTGTGGTGCTCAGATCCATCCCAAGGACCTTAGATTAACACCAGCACATTTGCCATTTAAATGTGCCTCTCCTTCAATATAGCCTTCATCAATGCCAATAACATGTTTTGTTTTAATTATAATTCATGCAAAACAGATGTTTTTTGACAAACAGGCTATTATCTGTACCAACTGAGAGCGCATCTACAGCATGCAGCTAATGGGTGGCTATTGTGACCAAAACAAAGACAAGCAATGGCTCTTCATGCAGTGTCACATCTGTTGTCTGAGAGGGCGACCAACCCACTATTCATTATTAATAATTCCATTTCTTCTGGGTCCAGACACAGGAAATGTAATTACTTTGTATTGCCCACAACTTGTCATTTCCTAAAGTGCCATCAGGAAAATAAGAGTCATTAAAGCATGCGCCCAGCAAAGAATCAAAAGTAATAAGCACGCGCACTGCCAACACACACCTGCGCTCGCACGTCAAATCTCTCAAGGCAAAGGCAGAAGAACAGCGGTACTTTCATTTATCTAAAAAAAAAAAATGAAATAAATAAATAATGAAAACTAGATGGATGATGCATTGCAAAGCTCTCAGGGGCTTGTTCACTTAGGAAATAAATATACCATATAGACATACTAATGCAAGATCTACAAAATTAAAATCACTTAAAGTAGCAGTGACGGAATACGAATGAACTGCTGGGAAAAAAGAAAGAAAAAAAACTTTGCATATTGTTCCCACAGGGGTCTCCTGGGATTCATTTGGTTCATATTTCTATGTTATAATGTCCTTTTCTGAGTTTCTAATTTGAATTATATTCTATTAAACCTGTAACGTTTTATTGCATCATCCTGCCCAGTAATGTATTCTAATACCTTTGCTTTGACATGTTTTTTTTTAATTATTATGAATATTATTTTCAATATAAATGGAAAAATATTTAAATTAAGCTGCGGTGGACTGATGGAAGTCATCTGCTATTTGTTGCAAAGCTGCATTTTTAAATATTTGATGCTGATGCAAAAACCAGACAGAGTTTTGGGAATCACGCAGTTAAAATATTGATGGTCCCCGTTCTCTCAGCGCCATCGTGGGTACATGACAGAGTATTGCAGGCACTTGATCACAGTGGAGCAGTACTGAGGCCAAACAGACAGTGTCACTCTTGGACCATGCCAAAGGGTAAATGCTCAACTACCCGAAAAATGGGCAACATACACTCGCGGGCCACTTACTTGGTATAACTGTTGCTCGTTAATACCTAATTAACCAGTCACATGGCGACTTGTGTCCTGACTTATGATGTCATGGTGTGGACGATATTTTCTTAGCACACAACTACTTAGACTAATTACAACAGATATTATTTAAACCAACAGCCTACTTGAGTATGGTTGACGATCTAGCCATCACAATCTAACCACTGTGTTTCTGTCATCAGAGGGAAGTCACAAAGCTCAAATGAGCTCAGACTGATTTCTTGAACATGACGGTGAGTTCACTTTGCTCACTTCCACAGTCACCAGATCTCAATCTAATAGAGCACCTTTGGGATGTGGTAAAAACAGGATCTGCATCATTTATGTGCAGCTGATGGAACAATTGTATGATGCTAGCATGTGAATATAGACCAAAAGCTCTAAGGAATGTTTGCAGCACCGGTTTGAATCCATGCCACAAATAATTAAGGCAGTTAGCCAAACCTGGTACTAGCAGGATTTAAGTGGCTTATGAGTGCAGTGAGTTCAGGGATGAGACATAAATCAAGATAAATGACAAAAATGAGCAAGACAAACTATGTACTACCAGATCTCTGTGAGCAGAGTCACCCTGTATTAAGGGCCCTATTATTTTCTGTAGAAACTGACTGCTTAATAAAACATTTTTGCACACTATATTTGAATGTTACAAATTATGAGTCAAAATCACTTACATTAAATTATATATAGATATTTCATATCTAACCTCAGATGGTAAAGGGAAAAAATAATTTTAAATCTATATTAATGGGGCTGCATTGTTGCCCTTTTATTAGCAATATGTACACGTTGAAAACTCAGAAAAGTTCGATCACAGCTTTGACAGCCTTTTATTCTGAAAATTATGTGTTTTTCTCATGCCTAAGTGCCGCACAGCTCCACAAATATGATCCGACAGGCATGACGTTGTTTTGTGAAAGGTACACAATAAGACACCATAGTGGCACTTTATTTCATTTAATACATTTATTCACTCTCATTACTTTTTTTTTCAGCGCTCTCTTTTGATAATAGAGACTCATGTGTCCTACATGCAAAGCTTTAAAGTGGAGATAAAAACAAAAGCTTTTCATTGCAATCAGCTTAATGTGCCGTACTCTTAATGAAAATGTGGTCTTAGGTATGTTGAAGCCTTTATAGACTGTCCATGCAGAGCAGTTGCTCCACAAAGCCACTCCCATTCCCCCAGGATCCTATTGTGAACATGTGCAGTGAGCTGGCTCATTGGGCCCTCATGGTGAATGGCCCGCAGCCATTCACTCAGCATACAGAAGCTCATTAGAACTCTATAGGCACACAATTGAGAGGCTCACATTAGAAACTTCCTGTTCTGGGGCATAGACACTGCACACAAAGTGCCAGTTTGCTGCTAAACTAAGCGCATTGTCCTCCTGATTCATAGAACCTGGCCCTCCATTCACGATATTAAGTTCGAGTGGTGGAATATCAATTGCGTGTGCAATGGGCCAGTATCTTTTTAAGAGCTTTAGTGGGGTTAAAAAAGAGAGAAAAGGGATCTCAGTCGGTCTGCAGAGTGCTAGTTTTCAACAGACCCATTGTGAGGAATCTGAATGAAGGGAGCCCTGTTTTTTCCCTCCAGTTCTAAAAAGAGATGGGCATCAAATAAATTCACATGAACTTGCTTCAGGGTGTTTCTAAGACCTACCCGTCAAGAAAAGCCTAATTATACCTCCCTCTCCTGGAGAGCTCTATTGGAATCTGGCTAATTACACAGTGGTGAATTTTAATAATGATACGTGCTTACTGATGCCTTTTAAAATGTGCACAAAGTTGGATGAGATTTGTTCTACCTAAAAAAAAAGTCACTGAACACAGAGAAATATACAAAGTTAATAGACACGCATAATGCTTTGACGAGTGTCATCATGTTTCTGACCTCTTTTAAACTTACTACACTGACATTTTTTGCTCAAATGCTAATTTAAGAACAGAGAACGTGACTCGGTGAAAGTCCTCAGTGTTATCACATAAAACATGCCTTGATACACAATAAGCTATTTAAGAAACAAAAACAGTTAAAAATAGCACTAAACAAGGCTTCCCTCCTGCTTTCTCTCTGTCATGTAAACAAATGACTCTCTGGCGAACAAAAAGCTTCAGGGGGCTATCACAGCCACTGGTCTATGTGAAGCATGTTAACATGAACTCGCTTAACAACAGTGGAAAGTGCACGCAGACGCGCTAACACTCATCATGTGACAGAGCACTATGCGTTCTCCACCAGCCTGAGGAATAAAACCTCAAATTTGATTACAAGCAACCTTTGGCTCCCTGGCCATCACACAATAGCCTGAGCTGTCTGGGCCAATTTCCATGCTCAGCATGAGGCATCTACACGCGCAGCCTGGCGCTCCCAGTCGGCCCCACAAACACACAAACACGCTCCCAGATGAGTGTGGATATGCCTGTTTACTGTGCCTAAACTACGGGTCTGTCGCCCCTCTTGTTGGACTTTCTATGACAATGTTGAGGATCATTAGCTGCAGTGTGAAAGGTTACACAAGCCTCTTATTGGATGTGTTTATGCCAAAACACTAACACACGTGTGTATTTGGGTGGCCACCTATATCTCGAAGCTGCAACACACTAATATGCAACACATACAATCCATATAGTGAAAACTGAATATTTAAGTGCTTGATTTTTCTGCCTGAGGAGCTTTATGGATCTCTGTAAAATCATTTGTACATGTAAAATTTTTAAAGCTGACAAATAGAGTTCTGCAACAATTACCAAAACTGAACAAGTCATAGTTCTGAGGATATGTCTTCTAATATAAACAAATGTTGCTCATTGCACTGTTTATTTCATATAATATGTTACAGAAAAAAATACCCTAAATTGCAACTAATATCAGTTGCAACCAGAGGGAAGAAAAATACGATGAAAAATTGTAAATTTCACTCAAAAGGTTTATTTTAACTAAAAAAATTAAGGGTTTTTCCATTATTTATTAAGAAATTAAACTGCATGCTTAAATAAGCCCAGTTATCTTGTAAACAGTGCAAGGTGTCTTGTGCAAGTGATTTAGAAAAACAACTGGACACTTTCTTTATGACCCAACTGAAATTTGCTTATAAGTGAGGCAAAAACATTACAATCGGATTAATTTGCCAACTGATATTCCAGAAAAACGCAAGATGTTCTTTTTAAACCTTCAGCAATGAAAACAACTCTTACAGAGCACAAATGAACGACGGAGGTGCTTGCATGGTGCACAATAGAGCTCCGAAGGAGGCTGGAGAAAGGAGAGAACTATTTACTACTGCAGAAGAGTGTTTGGTGCATGCTAAACTTTGGCCAGCACTTCATTGTCTCTGGTGTCGATCATTTAATAGGCTAGTTGACATAATGAATGAGCCAGACCCACCTTCTGCCACTCCAGAAAGGCCCCAGCCTTATCTGAATTGAGAAGCACATTAGAGCCCCTCGGCCAATCGTGACACAGTCCTGTAGCATAGTGCAGGCCCGAAGGAGGAAGAGCAGACAACTTTTGGGGTTTTTTTGGGGTTTTTTGTGGTTGTTTTTTCAGAGTTTAATGAAGTTGGCCTAGTCACTCAAAAAGGGATTAAAGGAGAATTTAGTGTCACTGGGCTGTGACTGCTGAAGAGAAAACTCTAGTGTTCAGGTCACTGTGTGATCAGGATGGTCTCAGTTCAGAGCTGTACCAGGAAGAATATGGCTGGCTGTCCTCCTGCTGTACCGGGATATGGGAGCTCAGGAAAGAGTTTTCTTATCGACAATCTGCTGCAGTCTCAGACACCTTCAGCCGCTTCAAAATGGACAACGAGTGGACACCTGAGACGAGCAGCGTGTGAATGCCCAAGGAGAACCTGGGGCCCTGAGGACGGAGCCTTGGAAAGTCGGACCCAAAGTCTTCGGCCAGTGAAAGACTTAGGAGGGCCACATCTGCCACGTTCTGGTAAAGAGATTGATTTTATGCAAGTGAACCTTTAAACAAAATGTAAACTGTTTTTCCTTGTATGTTTTAATTTGATTGTAATGTAATGTAGTTGTTTTTTTTTTTTATGAATGTAAAGCTACAACTTTACATTCAAATCACACTAATTTTTTCCCCCCGGTCTTGCGCCATCTATCAAACCCAGATATGTAGAGGAAAAACATTGTTCAATTAATAATGTAATACTGCTACTTTTGATGTTGCTTAGAGGTTTTATAAAACATGAAAGTAGGTAAGTATATCCATCTTTGCTAATAGTGTCATGTGTGAGTCCAAGACATGAAAAAATGAACAGATAATTAACAGATTTATACCCTTGCATGAAAGAAATAATAATCACTTATTTCTGAGTAATAACATTTTGTAAAAAAAAAAAAAAAAGTAATAGTTTTTTAACATCAATTTGTAAATGCTAAAAAATGTCATTACATGTAGTCTAAATATTTAACAGAACAGTCTCTAAATTCTATGCAGATTTGCAAATAAATGTCAGTTAAAAGACAGAAAACTAGTGACTGATAACAGCTTAGTCAACATACAACTGGTAAGCGAAGATGTAAGTAAATGCATCAATTTTACTATTTACTTAGTTTCTACAAAGTCTGACTTCTAAAAATCGTTGAAAATGTTAAATCATAATTCGCACAAATGCCAGTTTATTTTAAAACCGTTAATGTTTAAATACAATCTGAGACTCAGTTTTGTAGGCCTTCAGAAATATGAGCTTAGTGATTCAGGTAAGTGCTTTTGGGGATCACAGATATCACACCTGGCAATCGCATTACCCTATCTGACTGTCCCTGTGTTTGCAGATGTGCTGAGCAGTGTTTTCCTGCCGAGCCCGCAGTATCTGTTGGCATGCTGCGGTGGGTCCAGCCCCCCTCCTGTCTTCTCCAGTGAGTGTTTTATGCCTCATCAGCAATGCCTCAGCTACTCTCTAAGCATTAGCAGCAGGGTCTCCCATGCTCTCCACAGCTAATTACCGATGCAATGCCAAAGAGCTAATTCTCCGTTCAGTTCTGCACAGCTCTATTCATAAGCATTCACGGTTGTTTAGGAAAGGGAAAGAGGGGTGGGCTGCAAGGCTTTTAAGAGTCCCAGAGGCCCCCCTACACAGACACGCACCTTTTTTTGTACATGCAAATACACATTTAATAGTGCAAATATGCAGCACTAATAAACATCTTGTCTTCTGCTATATTAAGATAATAATTACCAGGTGTGGGTGATTCTTACTGCTGAGTAAGGCCAAATGTTTCAAAGCTTTACTCCCTCAGCACATTAACAAGTTTGGGTGGCAACACAAAGAGTTTGAAATAAAACTTTCAAGGTGAATAAAATGAGGCAACAGTTACAAAAGCTATTACTGCTTCCACTGAAGGAAAATTTACATTTTTTAAAGCATGGTTCAAAGTATCTAATTTAGGATTTGTGAACAGTACTAATTCTTCATCATCATTTAAAAGACTGAAATAAGTCAGGCAGTTCTGATATTTGGTCATTTTCCCTCATTAATTGGAAGTTATTAGTTTCTGCACCCTGTGATGCCTGTCAAGAGTCGTGCAAAATAGCACAAATCAGAAAGCCGTCATCCCACAAGTCCCTGGGGTCCCCTTAGTAGGTTGACACTTTCCCACAGTGCCCGGCAACGAAACAATGCCAACTCTAGCCATGACCAATTGCCACTTTCACTCCACCATCCACACGCGACCTCGCTGCAATTTTTCACTCCAGCAATGAACTCCACTAAGCACAAAAAAGTCCCCCATTTTTCAGTAGAAGAGGGCTGGACAAGTAACATCCCCCACCCATTGTGTGGCTACAGGGCTTGGTTCGCCGACCCCCCGTCTTTCTCCTGTCCTTCAACTCTCATTCCTGCCCATTGAAGACCTCTTGACTAGGACATAAAGCATTCAATGAAAGTGACTTTTATAGACTTATTTGAGCTCATCTTCACATACAAACTGGCTTCAAACTTGCAAGAGAAAAGATTTAGTGTTGGGCCACTGAACCATCGAGTAATGGCATTTCCATTGAACAGCTCTATTGTTGGTGTCCCATATGGCTCTATAGTTGGCCCACTAGAGTAGACACACGTTGCCCAGGAATGACCTGGTAATCAGCTATTTAAGTAAAAGCTATTGAATGCCAATAGAGAAGTGAAAAGCATGTCCAAACCAGTTTTGTGCTCTCTAGAGGTGGTCTATGTGCAGATTTGTCGTACAGATTAAAAAGGCAATGTTGAATAGATCAGATAAATTGTTTCACTTGACTTTTGTTGTGTGTGCACCTGTGAGTGAAGCAGCATGGTATTGGCCCTCTCAGGTCACCAAATCTCCTTTTTCCAGGTTGAAATGGTTTTCTATTCTCATTTAGTCACCCTCAGTTTGTTAAATTGGACAAATAGAAAGAGGATTCAAGAATGTGCGATAAAGTAAGTGTGACAAAGACAACTGGGTTTGAAAAAGTAGGAAATGTGAAACAGTAAGTGGATATATTATAAATGTGGAGAAGATCCGATTTTATCCAAAGCTTGAATAACCTGTTTCCGTTTATAAGACACCACCTTGGTGTTCCACTGTCTGCTACTTACCTTCTCCAAGATGTTTTTTCAAGAATCTACACTTTTTGTTTAAACTGATACAGTATGTGTTACAACCTACCTTGCAGAGATGAACCACCCACCATTGATTTTTATTGCTCTAATAAATAGCCCATTGAATATGTCTAGTACTTGAAACTGATGTCAATAAACTGACATGTTATTGTTCCTCTAATTCACTTTCAGAGGGAGCAAACATTCAGATGTGGTCTGCTAATGCAAGTCCAAACTCACGTAGAGGGATCCTTAGGAGAGCTGTGTTCTCTGAAGAACAAAGGAAAGAGCTGGAGAGGACCTTTCGAAGACAGAAGTACATTAGCAAGACAGACAGGAACAAACTGGCAGCTAATCTCAGCCTTAAGGAGTCACAGGTAATCGAATTCAAATGAGCTCATGTTTCGAATATGTGATCCTGCCTTACAAAAGGGTGCAGGGGAAAGTGACAGCTGTAACAGCTCACCTTAAAGATCAAACCTAAATTCCACACAGTGACCAAGATCTCTAAACTGCATTTACAACTTAAAATGAGAAGCTAACATAATTATAATGAAGGACTTCACAAACTGAACTAAAACCTTTACACTGTCGCACTGATTTAGGTAAAGATTTGGTTCCAGAACCGGCGCATGAAGTGGCGAAACTGTAAAGAGAAGGAGGTTCATAACATTCGTTCCCCAATGGATGAGCTCATGGCCCGCGGTCTTGGTCAGGAAGAAGAACCACAGAATTACACTAATGCAAAAACAGAGAGATCATCAAAGCAAAAGAGTGCCAAAGACACATGAGAGGTCATAATGTATGGAGGGCAAACTTTACATCTACAAAATAAAAAGACTACAATACTCTGATGGTTCTAAAAATATATGGATGAAACATTGTCTGTGTATGGCACGTTTCTTGGCATGATAAATGCAATTTGGTTCAGCTGCTTGGTCAATCACATTGCAGTGCACTGGCTTCAGTAAGCAGTTTCATGGCTATTACCCTGACAAGTATTTCCAGGAGAGACTGTAATTGGAGTCCATTAAAGGCCGGAATGATTCACTTCATTTACTGCACTTCCATATTAGGCTGTTTTATATTTCACATTTTCATAAGCTCTACACTTATGCTTTGTTTGTAATCCAAGTCCATTGGAACTCATGTTTCACTTTCTATATTTTGTAAATATTTTTGTCCAACTGTAAATAAAGCATTTCGATAACTCCTGTTTTAGACATTGTTTGTGCTTAGTGATCACCCTACTATATATTATTCATTGCTCTTAAATATAATCTTGTTAATGGAAGAGCATAATTACAATGAAGGTATCAAAAACCATAATGAATTGTTGTTTAAAACAGAATTGTATATAGATCACGCGCTATCGTGATCACAGTCCAGCTGAGTGCATTTCAGGCTGCAGAGATGATTTTTGACTTTATTGGAGTCTCTGCAGAAGCAGCAGGTTATGATGGTCGAATCCTCCTTGTTTATAGCCAGAAAAAGTCTGAAGAACAACTAAACTCTATGCAGAGATGTAACCCATGTTTCGAATATGTGCTGAAAAGAATAAAAGGGAAAAAACTAATTCTTTCAAAGAATGCATTGTATGATGGATTTATATATGGACTAAAAGTGAACTTTTGAGTATTAAGAAGACGCAAAATATATATTTCATAATTTGCCATAATTATATTTTATACTTCATTCCTGCAAACATAAAAAATCGTCTGAGATTTGCAGTGAACACAAAGTGAAACATTTTCAACTGCAGTGTGAATCATTAAAATGCACTGTATCAGTGAGCCCTAGACCCTTGTTGAAGCTGTACTAGTTGATCCTGATTGTGATCCCGTTACATGCTCCAGTAGTTGTGACAGGAGCTCATTCCAGACCCACAGATAACGTCAGAATCAACCCTGTCAGTTGTTGTTGTTGCATGTGAAAGAAAAGCTTAAATAACTTGTTGCTTTAAAACATCACTCCAGTCACCATACCAAAAAAATGTCTTGCTACTATGATTGAGTGACATTACTTATCTTAACCATATGTCTTTATCATTAACAACATCATGAACTCACTTTCAGTCTTTGAGTATTCTCTTGGTCACGTGGTGTTTGGTTACCATGTGTGGAACTTTCTGTTGGTTAAGAAAGAAATAATATTTTTGTTTTGTGAACACGGGGAAACAAACTACACAATTATAGTTTTGTTTTAATGGCAACTCAAATGAGGGTGGTTGATGATGATAAATGAATGACAGATAAAGGCTAATGGGTAATGATTGATGATCATTGTTAAGCATGAAAAAACCCCACAAATTTAGCATGCAGGTCTGTGAGATGCCATGCATTCTTGAAGACTGTTGTGTGACTCTATGAAATAGAGAGATCTGAATGGAAGGGAACATGGAATCCCGCCTGTCCATCGGGACCAGCGCGTTGCCACGCATTGAAAATTCAGGCATGAACAATTAGAAAGAAAAAAAAAAACACCATTCTTAAATTCCACAAACACAAATTTGTTTGTAGTGGATAAAAATGATATTTTCATGTCATACAATTTGCTTATTTAGCAACTTAGCCAATGTACCCACACGGGAAAAAGTATTACAGACACTAGACTTACTCAGACATTTCAAATAAAGAACATTATTATTGGGGATAAATAAAAGATTTTAATTTGTTGCGCTTGTCTCCTATTCATTTTCAGTTCACATAAATGATTTTAAATAAATGACCATTATCAAAGTAACCTTCATCACATCAGACATGTGACACATTGTGTATTATATGGAATGCTGATGATTTTACTTCACAGCTATTCCCGAGGCTGAATTGGCTTTCACCAAAACAGTCAAATATTTAGCATTTATTTTAAACTCCAAGACAACATAAAACCCAAAAGGAGATTTTTCAAAAGTACCAAACACATCCATTGTTCATGAACTATGTCTGTTTGGACGAGCTGTGAAAACAAGACTATTCAAATGTAAAGGGAGTGATTGATCTTCTCGTTAGCATTACACAGAATGGGCCTCACGCTGTGAACATAGTGATCAAGACATTTAAAACAGTTTGGCATCTTATGCAGAACAATTTATAGGCAATCCAATTTGTAACCATTACTGCATGCTAGGTGTTAGTTTTACATTGTATTATGCAATGTTTCAGAACAAGTGGCATTAGTGTGCCACCTTGTGGTGACATAAGTGTTAAGTGGTTTTTATTTCTGATTTTTATTAGTTCTCTCTTGTAAGAGCAATAACTAAATAACTGTTGTAATAAAGAGATAAACATACTAGGCTAAAGCAAGGCTTTTGAGCATAAGCATGAGGGAAAGAAACCTCACAAATATGTGGTTTCATAGGACGACTATTTTATTGTCATTTATTCCAAACAACACACGGAACATCATAAATACAGCTTTTAACAGAAAATATAATCTACTATAAATTTATATGTATAATACTATGTACAGGTTTCAGTGCGTCTTAATTCAGTGTGCTAACAAAAGCACTAACAAAGATGAAATGAGACGGCGACCTGCTCAGATGAGCAAATTGCTTGAGTCAGAGTCTGTTCTCATAACAATTACCCTCTTTTACAAATGCTTCTTAAAACCCAGTGCCACTGAGCTCCATCTGTGCCTCAAAACACAGATTTCAAGCTCCTGTTTTGGTCCATGTCCCTTCAACATCTGTGGTGCTTCCATTTTCGAAATGCCACTGCAATGTTTGCATCTTTTCTGTGCCAAGGGAAGACACGAGTCAGAGAAAGGGTCCCATCATGCTGCACAGAACCAGTCAGCACATAAAGCTGTGACCTCCCAGGACGCACAAGGGCACGGGCACATCTAACGTTGATAAGGAGCCACTGCTGGAGCAGATGCTGGGTGTCATAAGGCAACAGAGGACCCTGACGGATAAACTCGACCCGCCCCTCAATTTCAAATTCTGGCTCTCCTGTGGGTAGGCGAAGACGGTGGAGTTTGGCAGTAACAGCTGTAAAGGAAAAAATGAATAATAATAAACACCAGGAAAATCGGAAGTTGTGACAAAAACAAACAGATGTGACTATACCGCAGCTTTTTGAGAGATTTTTTGAACGTACCAAAATCATGGCTGCAGAAAGAATCCAAGATTGTTTTTGATTCAGGAGCCTCTTCCACATAAGGACAGTTTTGACAGGCAGATTTAGGCAACCCTGCGATAAAAATCAAACATTTTTTAAAATAACTGTGGTAATCATAAAACAACCTGAAAGAGTAAGGAACTGGTTTTCTATTATTCCAGTGGAATTAAACATTATAATCCTTAATAATGAACATGTAGTCTTTACCTTTAGAAAAGATGCCAGGTTTTCCATGGTGAGAAAGACACATGTCTTCCTCAGCAGGGAAACGGTCACAGTCAAGAACATCAGGCCATGAGTGTCCTTGGCAGGCAAGCACTGGGGCACAGCTTTCCCTCACTGCCACACACAGACTACGGCAGGGCTGGATGAAACTGAACAAATAGCAACAAGATGTTACACAGTGAACAAACAAGATTACAACGGTCATGATTATTAAAGGAAAGAATAAAAAGAAAGCAAAGCTCAACACAGAAAATCTACTTACGTGTCAAGACAAACAGGGGCAATGAGGGAGCAGAGGAAGGCTTGTGCTTGAGGGTGGCAGCCTGTCTGCAACAGCGGCCTCCAATCCTCTGAATGTGGCACCACCTCACTTTCCAGGCTACTGTGGCCCAAAAAGTTTGGCAAACGCATCTCTGAGTATCCAACATCTTTGCAGACATGCATCTTGTGGGGAATGGCAACACAACGAGTAGACTGACCCATGTCAAATGCCAGTAAAGGACAAGCCATAGTCATAAGAGCCACAGTGAAGAAAACAGCCATAATGTCAGGATCAGAAAGCCAAACCAGGAGAGGACACAAGGCTAAACAGGGAGAGCTTTAAACCAGCTTTCTTGTTGCCAGTCTCTGCTGAAATGGCATGATATATATACAGCAAGGTCAGCCAGCCCCATGAGTCTGTAGGTCTGTTATCAACCACCAATCAAAGATGCAGAGACGTGTCTTTGGAGATAACGACTTGTTTTGTGATGACCGCAGACGACAGGGGGGGTGGCAGTAAGCAGATGGTGTGTGGAATAGGGGGGCGGGGAGGGGGAAACACTGGGGAATCCCAGCCCCAACTTTCACCACTCAGTTAAGTCACACGGTCTCCTGCATTCGCTTTTATAGGTCTACAGGGCACAAAAATGTTCATGAGAAAGAAAAAAGGAAAGTTTCAGTATTCAGGGGGAAAAAAGGTCATTTTGAATTTGATGGCAGCAACATTTCACACACACAGGGTGTGACATGTTGTGACAGGGTCACGTTTACGACTGTGTAGCATTACTGTTTTTTTAAACAATAGTCTGTAAATGTCTGAGATCTGAGGAGAGCAGCTGCTGGATTTTTGGGAGTGTTGTCCCATTTTTGCTTGTTATAAAATCTCAGCTGCTCAGCAGTCCCGGGTCTTCTTTTCCTATTTTTCATTTTATGATGCTCCGAATGGTTTTAGTTGGTGTAAGGTCTGGATGGCATTTAGGCCATTTCAGTGCACAGACTCTTCAACTATACAAAGCCACGTTGTAATAGCTGCAGTTACAGGTTTAGGATAGTCTTGCTAAAGAGTGAAAATTGTTTTGTCAGGATGCTGTTTTAAAGGTTGTATGTGCATTTAAGTATTAATGATGTGCTTTCACTTGTGCAGGCTTTTGAACTGAGTGGTGATAAGTTGGATGGTCTGTCTCCTCTTTAGTGTAGAGAATGTGGAGTCTATGTTTTGCAAAAATAATTTCAAATTTCTATTCATCTAACCGTGGAACATTTTTCCAGTTCGCTTCGGTCCATTTTAAATGACCTTCGGCCTGACATTTCCAATGATTTTCAGCCTTGCGCACAGAGATTTCTCCAGATTTGCGTAATTTTCAAACAATTTTATTTAGACGATTCATTAGATATTCACCAGTCCTTAACAAATTTATGTTAAGGAACTGTTCCACAATATTTCTGTGTTCTAACATTAATAAAATATGGGTTTCTAATATATAACAATCATTGCATTCTGTTTCTGTTTACACAGCATCCCAGCGTTTTTGGAATGCAGTTTGTGTATGAAGTTGTTTTGCATCTCTGAAAGTTCTATTTAAAAATAAATAAATGAGGTTTTGTAGACAGTCAGGCTGTCTCCCTTATACGGCAAGCCTCTTTCATGTGTTCCTGCTTCCTAATTGGAGACTCATCTGAAGAGCCTCCAGTTCTCATTAGCAAACCAGTGTCTCCTCTGGCACACCTGGCTTTGATCTACCAATAACCCAACCTCAGATCCAGATGTAAACTCTTTAATTTATCCATTTCATGGAATAGAAGCTGAGAAAATTCCTGTTTCATTAACCAATGCAGTGACATAATGACATATTCCAGATCAGTTTAGAGAATTTAGACCATTTCAATTCTTCTTTCTCTAGTAACATGTCCATAAATTTCCTATGTACATTTGAGGTGGGAAAAATATCCTGAGAAAATATGTCAAAGAATACCCCTTTTTAAGTTTTTTTTTTTTAACAAAATAATAACAATAAATAATTTAATAACGCAGCAATGTATAGCATTCACCGTCAGTGAGAATTATGCCTAAAGTGCATCCCAAAAACCCATTCAACAGACCAAAGGTCTCATCTTTATTTGTCAACCATAGATAAAGACACTCATTTGTCAATACAACAGAACTCCATTACAGCATCGTCATGTTTGTTTTGATGTCGTCTGTCTCTAGGTTTAGATCTGTATCTGAGGCTGATGCCACTAAGACTTTCTCTTACAAACAAGAAGGCTCTATCCTAACCAGCCTCCTGTGGCTGGTGATCAGAGATGACAAAGTAAAGTGCTTTCTGACTGACCACATTTGTGTGTGTCAACGCTGTCTGCTGTGAGGACAATGCACCATTGAGCCCTCCATGGTTGCAAGCCCTCCAATGAGCAACAGCTTAGTCAACTTTTACAATCTGATGAGCGGAGACTGGTTCCAGAGCTTGGGTAGACGAGTACAGTCAGTAAGATGGGGACTAACTGAGCAACAATAGTTCAAGACTAATTTGGGAGAATAGGTCAACACATTTAACAAGCTCCCCCTGCTGAGTGCCCAGCAGGGATCTATTGTTGAGCCTAATGGATGCCTTGTAGACACAGTGTCTGTCTTGGTAATGTGTTGCCTGCCCCTACCTCAGTGAAAAGGTGATAGTGTAGTGATCCTAATACCTGAGCAGCTCTGTCTTAATACAGTAGACTGTCTAGCTTGGACAATTATCCCTTAAAGCCAACAATTAAGAGTAGCTTTAGCCATTTTCCTACATATTCTGCACCATCTGGCTTTCATAGACATTGAGCAGAGGATCTGTACGACCAAGCGATCAACTTTTAAGTTCAGGGCTGTCATATGGACTTAAACAGTCCATCATTACCTGTTACCATTTTCATTTAAGTTAAAGTGATTCTTACACTAAATACCTAAAATCGAGTAAGCTACGCATATATATTTATACGCACAATTTTTAGTTTTTCAATGAATTTCCCTGTTTAAATGCATAAAATACAAATTTTCAGCTTACAGCTTATAGAAATATAATTTATTGTCCCTCATTAGGTAAATGTATCATATTTAGCTCAGAATTATGTTTATTTCGAAGTTTCTACCCACATGAGGAATTTGTCTTGGTGTCATGGTGCAAAAATAATAGTGGTACAAAACTACATGGTATTTACAGTACATCTAATATATACATATCTATATAAGTACAATAAAAACAAGAATACTTTAAGTTAACTATTTATTATTACCTACTTATCTACAAATTTTAGCTAGTAGTTCTAACCGCACATTCACTAATGATTACAAGAAAAAAAGGAAAAAAAAAAAAATAAATCAGCCCATGCTAGCTTGTTTTAACAGCTTATTGCTTAATGAGTTAATTCATGTTTTCCCCCCAACATTATTAACCAATCTTAACTTTTGCGTTTTTGCTGTATATTTAGCTGGCCAAGACATTTCACTTTATGGCAAGTAGTTTTTTTTGTTTGAAGGGCTGATGCAATCTTTCCATATGTGATATAACCCCCCTCCTCCTTTGGTAACCAACTTGTCTGCTCTTGAGGAATTCACAGGTATGTCTTACCTCCTTACAAGCACCACCTGCTATAATAAAATAAGCACAAACTAGTGAGAATGCAGCTGGCACGAACTGTCCCCATTATGTGCTACATGTGAGCACATAATGCTGGTATACACACTGTCCTGGGACCAAAATAAACAAACCCACAAACACCCCGTGTGGGTTTATACTGTCTGCTTATTTCAGACACTGACTTTAGCATCTTGTGGGGAAAATAGTAACCTTTTTTCTATGTGATAATAAAAATTTGTTTTCCAGACCTTGGGTTTTAATCTGTGCATTTGAAAGTTTTAAATAATTCATTAATAGTAACTGTGCCAGCAAAACAACGTCACAACACATCATGCTTCAAAATCTAAGTGAGAAACCTGGCGGACTATAACTTAAGAACCTACAAAGCAACATTATTTTAAACAATATAAATGTGTATGGGTATTCTTCACTCTATGGTACAGCTATTATTGGAGAAGTGGGACACCAGAGGAAAAAAAAACAAACCCAAACACCTGAGGCATACATCAAAGACGGGGGTGTCTTTTGGAAGAAAAGAAAAGGGACTTTGTGTCTGAGCTGAGCTCTCTCACAGTTCAGATAAGCATTATCCCCTCCCTGCTCCTAATAGACCCATTAACTTAAAGACACTGAACCCCCATTTTTGTCTTTTCTTTTCCCATTACTCCACCCACTGGGCTCCAGTAGGGCTGACGGTGAGTGTGCAGACTTAGACTCAATAGCACTCAATTGTCACATCCAGTCTCTAGGTCTTATGGGTAGACACTGTTATATCAACTTATGCAGACAACTTGCCCATAAAATCTGCAGACATCTGCTTAGGTTAATGCCCTCAATATACCAAAACCTTGTTTTGTTGTATCCATTTTCTCTTGATTATCAAAGAGCTGGCACCACATTACTTTCTTTTTGCTTTAAAAGCAAGGTCGATTCCATTCAAATAACTGTGGAACCATTACTGTGCAGACTGGGTAGATAAACACACTGGGACCATTAAGGTGCAATTCTTGGTAATTCACCCAAAAATCAGAACCATCTTATGCACTGTCAAGCACATCAACTTAATGGTAGGACACAAGAATGCTTGGGCCCTGATCATGAGTATCACCTTTATTTCTCATCCCAGTGGGACTGCATTTGGCTCTTAGGCAAACAAGATATTTTTCTTTTTAAAGCAATTACGTTAAGAGGTATACAGAGACAAGCTGAGAAAACGTGAAGGAGGAAAAACAAATATAAACACAATTTGATTGCCAGGTTGACTGTGCTGCAGTACACCCCCTGTTTTTGTCCCTTTTATGTGCTCCTTTGCTCCTCTGCAACACTGTGGGAAAATGAGATGGGGTTCACATTTTTGCACAATAATAATAATAATAATAATAAAAAAATCAGAATACCATCTGCACTAACAATAAATAATATTTGATTAGTAGCCTTGCAATAGTCCAGAATATCCATTATGAACCTGTTTACTTACGTGTGAACATCTTGAAGAGAGGAAGGAGGATCGCAGCCCAGATAAGCCTCATTAATAAAGCAGTACTCAAGCAGAGCCCTGAAGCATAGGTCCTGGAAAGGAATTATGATTTTAGAACATATAGGGTGAATGCATTTTATTACAACCAGTCTGATGAGAGAGAGAGAGAAAAAAAAAAAGTTAAGAGTCACTCACCCTAATGAGAATGTGGGGGTTTCCAACAATTAAAAGCAGAGCTTTGGGTCGAGTGATGGCCACATTGAAGCGTTTTGGGTTGGCCAGGAAGCCAAG